TATTTAATATTGTAATTTGCCCAGCAATCAACAAACGTTTGTTATAACAATGGAACCTTGTCATGTATAGTCTCATGAGTGATCTCTTTTGATCTCCCCCAGAACTAGAATGGACGACAACATTTAGTTGTTTGACAAGAACATTACGCGTTTATTGTACTTCACGCTGAACTGGCGAATCACTTTCTTTATGATCTGCAGTAGGATGTCACGTTCAATGCTCATCAATCATTTGAGACGTAAAAAAACGCATCGACGATGGCTCGCAGAACTATGTTTTGAAAACGCTGAAGGGATGCTATATTGGCCAATGATCCAGTATATTTTTCTTCGCTTTGTACCTAGTTACTAGCTTTTGGAGAAAATATATTTTTTCCATATGAAGCGTCTATCGAGGTGCATGCCTAGGTACTGACGGTTCTTGATAATTACAAGTTACTCTATGCACAGTAAAGATGACTCTTATCGGCCACGTTTTCATGCACTTCTTAATTATGTTCGTTCATTAAGAAATATTTGGAGTTTCTTAGGATGTTGTTGGCGATAAAGATACCTACCTTATATTAGTGAAGTTCGTACCCTTTATAGTTTGCGGTGTGGTTTCCTCCGCAGTTAGCACATTTAACTGGGTTGTCTTTTGAGCCGCGAGTGCAATTTTTTGACTCATGTTCAGAAAAACTGCCCATCTTACACATTTGAATATATTATGATAGTAGAACTTGGTGTACTCGTATACTTGACATCTTATGCATTGCGGTATAATTATTTTAGTATGAGGTGGTTCACATTAGATGATCTTTCCAAGCCATTCGATTATATATACTTGTTTATTGTTTTCTTTATATGTTATTATGTGTGTACAAATCTATATGTCCTCTTATTTTTTTATTTTAGCTGCGGTATTGGGTGTTCTTATTGTCCAACTCTTTAATGGGAGCTTTGAAGTGTTCCTATTATTACTGGGTATCAGTGTACATCAAGAAATTCGTACTACTATTCGTAATACCTCACCTGGACAAATAAATACATGTCAACAGAAAGTTAAGTTCGGATATTTACAAGTCAATTGTGAGACCGATTCTAACATTAGAGTAGTAACGTTACGTGATCAGAATAGGAGTGCTGTAACACGAGAAGGACTAGAAATCGAGAATTATTGGATTCACAAGATCAATACGAAGATACTGAAAACACTATGTCAATAGAATGGAGGACGGTAGATGGGCGAAGTGGGTAAAAAAAACTCACATTAAAGAGACTTTCTGGCAGACCACCTAAGAGATGACAGGAAAGTCGGGCATCCGCGTAAGTAGTATTCATCATCACCTATTGTTGTGAAATATGGATTTTAACTCAAATAGTAACAAACGATATTGTTGTATTTGAGAGGAAACTTTTGAAGAGAAATTAAGGCTTAATTCAAGAAAACAAGAAATGTAGAAGCCGATACATTGATGAATTATACCACTACCCTACGGAACTAGAGATATCCAATTATATCATTACTAAGAGACTACAGTGGAGTCATATTTCGGGGATGAAAGACTCTCTAGTATGCTAACAAACTGAAAATTACAGGAATGAGATCGAAAGGAAGGCCAAGCAAAGATGGGAAGAGACGGTTAATATTGATGCAAAAGAAACGCTAGGATGAAGGAATTGGAAGAAGGAAAGTGTGGAGGTAAAAATTGAATGAAGTCAGGGATCGACAACGGACTCCAATGTAATAAAAGAGAGAAATAACACTTTTTTTAGAAGTTTCCGAGCTATCCCGTGCGTCTGTTAAAATTCTGGTTGACGTTTCATGATGCCATGTTGCAAACTTCTTCAGAAACAAGTTGAAAAGTGATAAAATCGGTGGAAACTGAAAATATATACTCCAGTAACTAATTATTTTACTAATTACTACTCGAGTACAGTAAAATCTGTCAGATTTGGGTTAGCTCAACACCATCCTCTCTATTGATATTGTTCTTATAACGATCCATTTCTATGGCCTCTCTGGTGGTCATGGATGGTGGCCATGCCCAATAGATCGCTCTCTAGTGACTGCTCTTAGCAAGTGTTTTTATTGTTTAGTCTTTTTTATGGTCATTTTTTAGTCGCCTGATTATCCGTTTCATTACACCAGTAACAAAGGGTAGACAGATGAAACCACAAATTGGGATTACTTACCGTAGAGTAGAGTGGGACAATAGTTCGCGTGGGGCATAAGTCTCAAAAGCCGTTTTTGCAGAGGCGGATACACAATCTGGTAACCCTGTCATACCGTAACCTTCGACAGCCAGTATTGATACCCTATTTTTATAGCAATTTCTGTGAAGTGTTGTGTTTATAATGAGGTATTTATTATTTTTTTATATTTGCATGTAATTTTCACAAACTCGTTCATAAGATATTGTACAACTACCTGTGGTTGTATTTTTAAAACAAATTTTTTACATAACCTACAATATATGGGGATATATTAAACACATGAAAATCGCATGGATCTGTTGACAGCAGAAGTGGCGTTAAATTTGATTGACTATATGGGGCATAAGTCATATTTTCGCATGGGGCAATAATACGAGTATACTTTTGCCCCATACATTTTAAGATTTTTACCCACATGATATTTGCAGTTGATTTAATTAAAAATTTAACACCTTAAAACATTTAACCCCTCAAAACAGTGTCAAAACTGGTTGCACGAAAACTGCACTGCATACGAAAATATTGGAACATTTATTTGTGAGCTTTGCGAGTAAATATAAGAACACAAGATTATTGCCCCACATGTTCATGACTTTTACCCCAATGGTGGGGCAAAATTCCCATTCTGCGTTTTTTTATATTTTTAAAATTTTCTTTTGTTTTGTTCGTTCTTTCAGAACCAAATATTTACATTTTCATACATAAATGATTGTATTAACATACCTAAGAGTAAAGTGTTTTTTCGTTCACAATTTGTTATTTTTATAATTATTTAAACCTTAGGTGCGTCCTTTTGCCCCACGTTACTCTGTTGTGTGTAGCTTCTTCTCCTTGTTTGTCCGTTTCATTCTTCAAATTATCATTGTGGCATAATCTCCTGGTCCTTTGGAAAAGAGTGCGAATTATGGACATCATCTGTTGTGGGTGGTAATGCCATGAAGTTCGTAGGTCTCTGTTCGTGTGCGTTTTTTCGGTACATTTCGTGTTTATATAGTCCATTGCTGATGCATCAAGGAATAGAAGCTGGTTTTCTTTTTGGAAAACCATGGTGAACTTTATCATTGGACGCCGGCTGTTTAAATAGCTTAAGAGATTCTCAAACCTTTGTATGCCGTGTTGCCTGATGGCAAAAGTATCATCCACATATCGTAGCCTTAACTATGGTTTTCAAGGATTGGTTTTTAAAGCCAACTGGTGATAATGGCAATCCCATGACTGCTCCCTCATATTGCACATAAAACACTTATTTCCAGCTTAACTTAGTCGATGACTGGCACAATTCTCCAAGTTCTGGGACGAATCTCGATTATTTCTCTGGTATGAGTTTTCTTCATACACCTTCTTCGACATCTTTTACTTCTTTTCTTGCGTTCGATGTTCTAATGACTCAAATTTCTAGCTTTGTGTTTTTCGGCTCATCTGGAACTCTTGTTCTGCCTTCTACATGGTCTATTTAATGAAATTTTAATCCTATCCACTTCGACTCAGTCATGACTGGCTATGGAACTCTAAGTAACGGAACTTTAATAATTAAATTAGTTATTAAAGTTATTAATTCTTCTGAGTTATGCACGGCATAACTCAGAAGTTTCTATCTTCTAAAATTTGGATTATTTGTAGAAATGGATAATTTGATCCAGGTCCGATGTTTTGTATTTCGTAATTTTTTTTCTAACTCCAGTAAAAGCCAGTTGTTAATCCTTATTTATTTAACTAAGCAATGAAAAGCAGCGTATCTAAAGTAAAATCTCATAAAAGTGTGAGGTATGAATCCTGAGTAATACCCTTCACAAGATAAGGTACATAAAGTTGTGTGAACGTACAATAACCATTACGTAAAGACACGATATAAAAAGATTTGTAAACAATGACAAAAACACAGTCATAATATGATTATGAAAAACTATTTCCATGACCTTATATAATAAAACAAATAAATAAAATATAAAAAAATTAACCTATGTTTTAATAAATAACACAATAAAAGATTAAACAGAAAAAACACCAAAATCTAATTCATATCGGGAAAGTTTTACGACTCGTAACTAACGTAAATTGATCTCAAAAGGTTATTTATCCCACTAGATCGATATCACGCTAATAAAATATTATTAATAATGAATCATTAAATCTTTCTTAGTTGTGGTTTAAATTTTTTTTGTTAGGGATAACTATGCACCTAGTTTTTAATGTTATAATAAGTTTTTAATTGACAAATCTTAAATAGATAAAAGTTTTTTTATCTATCAACAGCAAAAGGAGATTATAAAAGCGTTATGTCACTTCTTGCGAGAGATGCTCTCGTTGCTCATCCTATCTGGTAATCTGTATCTATGGAAGGTGAAAGTATCACTTTATGTGTCTGTGGATGTTCTAAATTTATTTAGGATTTATTATAAGATAAAGTTAATAAAGATATTTTCACCCCAAACTAAATGTTCCTTTCGAAGAAAAACCCAATCCTTTCAATTTGAAATTTTTAATCGATTTAACACAATCATAGAACACACATAAAAGACTTTTTCTTCATAACTTCGAGGTCGTTTTCGCATACAACGACGAGACAACCAAGAAGAAGATCCTTCTTCCCCAACGACCGCAATCGTCTCCCCCACACGATCGAAAAGAAGAAGGTTTCGTCTTCTCGCGCAATTGGGAACAACACCGTTTCTGTTCCTTTTTCTTTTCCCCCAACCATGAAACTGCTCGTAGATGTGGATGATGATGGTCCATTGTATGGTTATCCAACCACTTCACGCTCGACTAGGTGGTGGTGGTTTAAGACATTTTTCGGGGGTTGAATCGGTATAAATAGTTGAAGTCGTTTTCGGGATTGTCAGTTCTACATCAACTGGGCTCTTATGATTTTATTGATCATAAAATCTAAGAACTTTTTTTTGAGTGTATTGAGGTGATGCTGAAGCATCCGCAAAGTTTTATCATTTCATTTTGATTTTTTTTCAGATATTAATTGTTAGAAAATATAATGAACTGGATACTTTTATTTGCGGGTAAGTTTTTAAACTGTTCCTAATTGATTTACACATCGCTTTGGGTTTGAATTGATTTTGCCCCATCATCTTAAATTAATATCTTTTTGTTAGGTTTGCGTAATGACTTTATAAAAGCACACGATCCTTTTCATAATGGACTGTTATACCAATAAAGTTTTGTTTGAATCACTCTCTAAGTATTCCATAAAAATTGCACCCTTTCAATTTCAATTGAAGTATAAGTATATATTTCAAGACATCTCATTAACACATCAATTTAAAGTTGTATAACGCTTGTTATCGAGTCGAGGTGTCGGAAATCGTCGCTGAAATCAATTTGGAATAAAATCGTATTTGCATACAATTGATTTAGAAAAATTTATTTGTTAAAAACGAATTAATTTTTTAAAGAAATGTAATAAATAAGCTTTCTCAAAGCGATTAAGAGAGTTAAATAATTCGGAGTATGTGAAAGAATTTTCCTTGTACCACACACAATTGCGGTTGGAAACAATGACTTGTTTAGGTTCTTCTGCTTCGGTTACGTCCGAAAATCTCAAATACGCGTTACGTAAACGAGGACAATTAAGGTCCGCGAGATGATACACCGTCGAAGGATCATTATTGCGGATGCAGGTTATACAAGGTTTGATAATCGTGTGAACTAACCTCACGGTAACGTCTTTTAGATGAATACGATGTTTTTTGGGCAAAAGAAATGATTGAATTTAATGATTTAAAATTTTTTCTTAAAAATTTTCTTCACATCATTAAATATTTCCATGTGAACTAGATGCAATTGTAGATATAATTAGTAATCCCCTTCTAGTTTATTTTGTAAACTAATATCTTCACTCCATTGTCTCTTCTTCACATTTTTCGCATATTACTTAATTTAACCTTCAATTAATTATTTATGTTTTTCTTTTCGTAACAGTGCTACTCTTAGCCGCCGCAACAACTTCGGTAAGAACTCGTATTAACAAATATTCTTTATAACTAATCGTATTTTATTAGGGACAAAACGGGTATAAATATGACAGACCAGAAAAGACATTTGATGGAGGTCCTGGTGCTCCATCACCTACTCAACCAGGAGGACAAACTGGACCAAGTGGTTTTCCTGGATCTAGACCACAACTAACTTCGCCAACTCCAGGTGGTTTTTCGGGTCAACCTGGATTCCCTGATACTCAAAAACCAAGTAGACCATCTGGTTTATACGGAACACCCTCTCAAGAAGGTCCATCAGGAGGCTTTCCAGCACAACAAGGACCTAAAGCTCCTGGATTTGGACAACAAGCACCCGGATTTGGACAACAAGCACCTGGATTTGGTCAACAAGCACCTGGATTTGGTCAACAAGCACCTGGATTTGGTCAACAAGCACCAGGATTTAGCCAACAAGCACCGGGAGTAGATTTCCAAAGACCCGGCCAAGGACAACAAAGACCTACTCAAAGACCAAGTGAAGGAGGATATCCATCAGGACCTGTGCAGAGACCACAAGGCGGTGGATTCCCTGTTGATACTCAAAGACCTGGAGGCTTCCCATCGCAACGACCTGACGAAAGTGGTTTTCCATCAGGACCATCCCAAAGACCTGGAACGGGAACTTATCCATCTGGACCATCTCAAAGACCCGGTGAAGGCGGATTCCCATCCGGACCTTCTCAAAGACCAAGCGAAGGATACCCATCAGGAGGTCCACAAGGACCAGGATTTCCGGGAGGAAGACCACAGGGTACTGGAGGAACCCAGGGAGGTCAACAAGGATCAGGATTTCCAGGCGGAAAACCACAAGGTCCTGAACCTTATCCAGGAAGAGGACAACCCGGACAAGGATATCCTGGTGCTCCTAGCCAAGAAGGAGGTTTCCCAAGTCAACAAGGACAATTCCCCGGTCAACAAGGACAATTCCCCGGTCAACAAGGACAATTCCCCGGTCAACAAGGACAATTCCCAGGCCAACAAGGACAATTCCCAAGTTCTCAAGGACAATTTCCAGGTGCTCAAGGACCCTTCCCTGGCGGTGAAGGTCCTGGCGGAGCTGCCCCAGGTCATTTCGATGATGGTACTTACGACGAAGGCGATTATTCTGCGATTCCCGGTGAACCAGATATAGACTATCCTATTTACTCTGAGATTTTCGAAACTTCCTTCAGATGTGAAGATCAAGAATATCCTGGGTATTACACCGATGTCGAAGCGAGATGTCAAATATTCCATGTGTGCGCTAACAACAAGACCTACGACTTTTTGTGCCCCAATGGAACCATTTTCCATCAAGAATACTTGGTTTGTGTTTGGTGGAATCAATTTGATTGTAACACGGCGCCTTCTTTGTACGGAATTAATGCTAATATTTATGATTATTCTATTATGGGCAGCCCCGAACAGTTTCCGCTGGGACCGGGTGTTCCTGGAGGATTTGGACCTGGGGGTACGAAATAAATCTTTTTCTTTTATTTAGATTACTAAAGTGTTATTATCTTAATAGGACCAATACCGTCTGGACCATCAGCAGGTTATCCAGGTCAAGCACCTTCAGGGCCAGCTCCTGGTGGTTATCCAGGACAAGGACCATCAGGGCCATCTCAAGGTGGTTATCCTGGTCAAGCACCATCAGGGCCATCTCAAGGAACTTATCCAGGTCAAGCACCATCGGGACCAGCACCAGGAGGTCCAACAGGAGGTTATCCAGGGGAACGTCCAGCTGGAAGATATCCAGGACAAAGTTCAGGAGGACAAGGTCCAGATCAAGGATACCCTAGTGGACGACCAGGAAGACCAGGAAGTCCAGGACCAGATCAGGGTTATCCAAGTGGACGACCAGGTGGTCCGGGAGGTCAAGGAGTAGATCAAGGATACCCAAGTGGGAGACCGGGTGGACCAGGAAGTCCAGGGTCTGATCAGGGTTATCCAGGTGGGCGACCTGGAGGACCGGGGGGACCAGGAGGACCAGGAAGTCAACGACCTGATCAAGGTTACCCAAGTGGAAGACCAGGAGGACCGGGAAGTCAAGGGCCTGATCAAGGTTTCCCAAGTGGAAGACCAGGAGGACCGGGAAGTCAAGGACCTGATCAAGGTTATCCAGGTGGAAGACCTGGAGGACCAGGAAGCCAAAGACCTGACCAGGGTTATCCAAAGACCTGGAGGACCAGGAAGCCAAAGACCTGACCAGGGTTATCCAACTGGAAGACCAGGAGGACCAGGAGGTCAAGGGCCTGATCAAGGTTATCCAACTGGAAGACCAGGAGGACCAGGAGGTCAAGGGCCTGATCAAGGTTATCCAAGTGGAAGACCAGGAGGACCAGGAGGTCAAGGGCCTGATCAAGGTTATCCAAGTGGAAGACCAGGAGGTCAAGGGCCTGATCAAGGTTATCCAAGTGGAAGACCAGGGGGACCAGGAAGTCAAAGACCAGACCAAGGATACCCAAGTGGACGACCAGGAGGTCCAGGAGGTCAAAGACCCGATCAAGGTTATCCAAGTGGTCAACCAGGTGGACCAGGAAGTCAAGGTCCCGATCAGGGTTATCCAAGTGGACGACCAAGTGCTCCAGGAAGCCAAGGTGGATATCCTAGTGGAAGACCTGGGCAAGGACCCAGTGGACCACAAGGACCTACTGGACCACAAGGACCTAGTGGACCTCAAGTACCTAGTGGACCACAAGGACCTTCCGGGCCAGTTCCAGGTCAAGGTCCAGAAGGATATCCAAGTGGACCAAGACCATCGCCATCATTCCCACCAAGTCAACGTCCTGGAGGAGGTGATCAAGGATATCCGGGTCAAGGCCCATCTCAAGGACCACAACAAGGTTTTCCAGGAGGGCAGAGACCACAAGCGCCTACCAGAGAATACTTACCACCGAATTAAATAGGTTTTAAGAAAAACGTAAATAATAAATGCTTATTTGTCGATAAATTGCGCCCGCGTTGTACATAAAATAGTGATATTATGCTGAAGTACCTACGGTTTATTTTTATATTTTTTTAAAATACGGTTTAATATTTTTGTATTTCATTTTATTCTTCATTTTTTCTTTGTCTTTATTGTTTAACGTTTAACTTTGTAGATGTAAAAGTTGCTGTTGCCACGAACGGTAAGATCCATGTATTTTTTTAAGTAATATGTATTTTTAAAAGCGAATAAAGGTATGATAAAATAAAATGTAGACATGTGTTATTTATTTTAATTTATTATTATTATACTTTCAAGCTTTAAAATAACTGTTTTGCACAAATCCTTGCAAATATCTTCTCAATAGCGACAGTATAAGCAGCTGTTCTGATATCCAAACCGAGATTGTAAGCTTTTTGGTGTGCTAGAATATTCTAAAAGAAAATAAAGTATAGTTATCCAAAAAATCAGTATCGTAAAATAAATGTGTATTAGAATCTGTTTTTAAGAAACGCTTCAATGCTTCCTATGTGCTTCTTAATGTCAAGAAAATGTATGCTAATACCTTGAAGAGGAATGTAGAACTATTTTTTGACTACTTTGGAACCATACTTTGCTATAACGGTCACGGTAACAATAAAGTATAATCGAGAGGATATCAAATATGTATAGAGTATGAAGTTTTGAACGTCAACTTTTCCTAATGACAAGTAAATTAACTTTAGTAGCAATTTTATGAGAAAATCTTATTGTTATTAATTGTAGCGCTTTTACAGATGACCCTATAAGATCGAAACATGTAAAATGGATTATTATTAACAATAAAACCATACAAAAGTACCAAAACTTCAATCGTTGATATTTTTAAATCAAATTTAAATTAATGAAACATATGCCAAATAGCATATTATAATAAATACAGGATGTTTCCTAAAAAGTATCCAATATTCTACAGGGCGATTTTTAAGGCGTTTACAGCGTTTGCCGGTAATGCGTGTACCGACTTGGAAATGTCCGATGACGGATTATAAATCCACTCTTCGAGCCAATCTATGTTCATCGCTACAATAGTAAATGGTCTCAACAATTCATTTCGGGTACCCAAAAGATATACTTATTCTATCGTGCGAACGTGTTTTCTGTGAATCGTCTATTAGGTAAACTGTTTTAATGATTAATAAATTGGTCGAAGTAATTAATGCCTATTAGAGATGTTAAACTAGTTTTTCTGGGAAACAGATAATATATTCCTGTTTCTGAAAAGTAAAAGTTACAAATACCTATTACAACTGTTCCTTTAATCCTCTGTTCCTAGGGATATACCATAAATTCCCAAAATATCATAATAGGACGATTTTTCTTAATAAAATCAGTTATAGAGTAATTTTAAGTATTAAAACCAATGGATTATGAATAAAAAATATTCCTAATGCATCGGGAAATCATAATCCATACTTATTTCATATTTATCCATCACCAGTTTCTAGTCATATAGCATAAATCACAAAACATCAAAATTGGACAATTTTTCTTTATAGCATTAATTACAGTCAGTCCCAAAAGTCATCGCACACCAACGATGTTTACATGATTTCTAAAATAGGATCGTAAATAGAAGTTTTTTTCTTTTAAATAGTTATAATTATTCTGTTTTAACAGATTTATAAGTAAAACAACTCTGAAACTGAAGAAAATAGCAAAATAAATTAATAATTCTTCAAAATTGTTCCATTGTAACCTCACAAAAGTAATCGTACAATTCCAAATATTGCAATGAATGATGAAACCTGCGTAGTACTAGTACTTCGTAGGTTCTCCATTCGCTTTTAATACAGCTCTCAATCTTCTCGGCATTGATTGCACAAGGTTATTTTTTCCTATTCTGCTTGCAATGCAACTTTTACCGGTGTGAAGACAGCAGTAAAAGATAGCAGTAAAAATTTCCGATGATACCCGAACGCCCATAGACGTCCGTAATACCTGACACACGGGGGCTCAATTTTTTCTAACAAAAAAACATTACATTATCAACTTAAGAAGTTAATTACAGTATATTAAAAGTAATTAATATATTTATCACTAATATCAAGGTACAATCAGCAATTTTAATTAAAATAACTGGCTCCAGCTCCCTTATTGGTTCGAAGATCCACACCAAACTTTATATACGCCTTCTAGACATGATAAGAAATATATTTATCGAAAGAAATTTCACTTGCAAAGGGTCCGCGGGGGTGAACTACCCCGCAGTAGATTATAATTTGCTCTACCGCCCTTATTCGGTC